ACTTTTCTTCTTCCAGTCATCGTCAGCCGAGTCGCCTTCATCCAATATGGCAGGTATGTCGTTCCCTAGCTCTGAATGGTAGATCGACTCGAGATGTAATGAACATATAGTGTTTGATGATTCTCTGTTGAGTAATGTGGTGATGAATTCTACTAGTCGGCCAGTCAAGATTCCTAATGGAACCAGTGGTCTTGTCGGGAAAGTAGGATCGGTTGTTTTGTCGTCTGGGTTAAAGCTGGATAAAGTACTTCATGTGCCTCAATTTTGTTGCAACCTATTGCCTGTTAGTCGTCTCACAAAGGAGAACGATGTTGTTTTGATCTTCCTCCGTGACTTTTGTATCCTCCAGGACTTACAATCCAGGATCGTGATTGGGAAGGGGATTCTCCGTGATGGACTGTACTACCTTCGTCTCTTCACCAATAGTGATCGTCAAGCTTTTTCCGCAGCAGGGGGTCAAGCAGTTTCGTCCAAAGTTTGGCATTCACGGTTGGGTCATCCATCTATGTCCAAGATGGTGCAATTGTCTTCTCTTTTGTCTCCTACACTTCGAGTTAGCAAGGATTTTTGCCATTCTAGTTCTCGTGCTAAGCAGACCCGTACACCTTTTGTTGCTAGTAGCATTAAGACGACAGATTGTTTTGAGCTTGTTCATCTTGATTTATGGGGTAATTACAGTGTTCCTTCTACTGATGGAGCTCATTATTTTCTCACTATTGTCGATGATTTCAGTCATGTCGTCTGGGATACGTTACAAATCTGAGGTCACTAAGTATTTGCTGATGTTCATGGAGATGGTTCACACTCAATTTCATCGTCGCGACTGTCGTATCCAGACTGACAATGGAACTGAGTTTCAAACAACTATTCTTCGAGATTACTACATTAAACATGGAATTCATTTTCAGACCAGTTGCACTGATACTCCTCAACAAAACAGAGTTGTCAAAAGGAAGCACAAATATATCCTTGATACAGCTCGTGCACTTCGCTTTCATGCAGGCTTGCCTATTTAGTTTTGGGGAGAATGCGTGTTAACGGCCGTGTACTTGTTGAGTCGGCTTCCTACGACAACAACTGGCAAGACTCCCTTTGAAGTTCTATTTGGTAGGCCAGCACCCTATCGTTACCTTCACATATTTGGTTGTCTCGTCTATGCCAAGGATACGCTTCGTGGACTCCATAAGTTTGCCGATAGAGGCCGTGCATGTGTTTTCTAGGATATCCCGCCGATCAAAAGGGGTACCGCCTTTATGATCTTGTTACTCAGAAATTTTTTCTCAAGGGACGTCCTGTTCGTTGAGGACCATTTTCCTTTTCGATCCCCCAATCAACAACGTCTTCATTGGGTGCCTATTTTGTGTTTGCCTCTTCTCGGCGCAGTTCCTCTTGACGACCCAGTTTCTCCTTCGGTTGGGCTCAAGGACAACTCGTCATGGCTCCTACTTTACAAGCGGCCCAATTGGCACGTGAAGATTTCAGCCCGTAGATGGGCTTCGTTTTGATATTGCATTTTGATTTGGTTCTGTAGGTCGTTTGGTATTTGCGATTGTTAGAATTGATGTATTGTATGAATACTTGCATTGTAAATTGATGTATTGTTTAAATGCATGTATTATAAGATAACGTTGTTTGGTAGTTGTGAACTTGTGATTGTAGTTTTAGGAATAAAATGAGAAAATTACTTTTTAAGTGAAATGTCATGTTTACCCTTTCTTTTACATAGAAGAGTAACAATGTATAAAAGTTGATAGGGATATAAAGAAAGAAAAATGGAAGAACAATCTCAAAACACAATCTCAACAATCTCACCAAATTATTGAAATGGCAAATCATTCATATTGAATGATTTCAAGTATCACATCATTAATGAAATGCATGTATTGTTTTTCATTTTGACAAAAAAAATGATGCATTCTATACAATACATGCATTCTTTAAATGCATTATTTAAATACGCATATACCAAACTACCTGTAGTTGTTTTATATTTCACCCATTCTAACGGTTGGTACGCCGGTGGGGATTAGAAGTTGGAGGCTTTATAGTTTATACAGTCAACTTGACTAAGTTGGAGTTTATATGCATGGTTTGTCGTTAGGAAGTGGAGTTTACAGTTTACACCTCTCAATTATCTTATTGGACAGTTTATGAGGCTGCACATCCATCCTACCACAAATTCTACAATGGAGATAAGTATTTGGAAGTTACTACTTACTACCATAAAAAAAATTCATATTATTTTGTCTCATATTACGTTATGTCACTTGAAAGTGATGTTTGGTGTTATTTAATTAGTGAAATTTTATTTATTTTGGTACATCTTTTGCTAATCTGCTATGATTTTGGGTTATACTTACTTAAACATGAATTCTGTAGTTTCTATGATTATTTTATACTTTCGTTACCTTTTTTATAATTTTGTATGATTGTTATCTTTTTTATAATTTTGTATGATTTTCAGGTTAAGAGAGGACGAGGAAGGAGGACAAATATAGATGATAACATTTTGATATCCATAAACCTACAAGAGTTGGGGCGGCCCATGGGCAGTCTAAACTGCCCCGACCCAAGAATAAGCCTGAAGCCCCAACAGCGATCACAAATCTCACTTCCAACCCACAAACTAAGTATGATACCAAAAGACTCTAGAATACATATTTTAGTCTAGAATCATTATAGGGGTAGTTTGGAGAACGAGATCTAGTACGTGGATTCTAAATTTAGTAAAAAAATTATGTTTTTTTGTTGTTTTTGGTAATGTGGATTTTAGTTTTAGAGATTGCAAATATCTAAAGTCTACGGATATCAAATCTCTAATAATCAAAGAGATTATATATCTTGATTTTTGAGATTTTGTTTTCTCCTACTATTTCTCTTTCTTTTATTTATTTATCTTATTAAATATATCTATCAACAAAAATTTTAGTATTTCTCGAATCACTCTAATTTTTTATTAAGGATAAAGATGTTATTTAATATAAAATTAATTTTTTTATTTACATTAAATGTTAACAATCACAATTACCAAACAATAAACATTTTAAAATCTATTTTCAACAATCCAAAGAGTTAGAATCTTTAGATTGTTGACAATCTATAGATTTTTGACATAATTTTTTTTTACCCTTAGTGCATGAAGATGCAGAACAACTTTGGCTAGGGTAATTCACAACCCAAAATAATATTTCATTTTATAATAAAATTTCAAAACTCCAATGAATGAGATCACGAGATTTATATATATATATGGTGGCTACTTCGGTGCACTCACTTTTTTGGGTGCACACTAAAAGCGTCCATAATACATCAAATTTTGAACTTTAATTAGTACTCTCAATATAATATGATGATATGACATAGAATCATAACGAATCAATTCCTTACCCTAACCCCTTAACATTCAATTTTGAATCCCAACCCAAAATCCCAAATTGTAAACCTAACCCTAACCCTAAATCCCTAAATCCTTCGAATTAAAGTAAATTTTGAATGAATTTTTTTCAAATTCATGTGCTTCTTGTTCATAATATCATAAGCAACAATTGATACCTTTTTGACATGAATCGCATGGTCAGAATGACAATTATGAGGCGGGTGCACTGAGTGCACCCGAAAAAGTGGGTGCACCGAATACGGCACCATATATATATATATATATAGTGCCGTTTTCAGTGCACTCACTTTTTTGGGTGCACTCGCTTCATAATCGTCATTTTAAACATGTGATTTATGTCAAAACATTGGCAATAATCACTTATGACGTGATGAACAATAACGCACATGAATTTGCACAAAAACCATTAAAGATTTGCTTTAATTTGAAGGATTTTGAGTTTAGAGATTTAGGGTTAGGGTTAGGGTTTACAGTTTGGGGTTTAGGGATAGAACTCAAAATTGAGGGTCTATGGATTAGGGTAATCCGCTAATTATTTGTTATCGTATGTTATATCATCATATTACACTAATTCTACAAATTAAAATTCAAAATCCGACACCTTAAGACTAGTTCTTGAGTTGGGTGCATTGAACGCACTCATTTTAGTGAGTGTACCGAAGTAGTCACCATATATATAAATTATCTACGTTTTATCAACAGTATTATATATTCATTTAAGGTTGGATTTTTACATTTTCGTATAGAAAAACGAATTAGTTTTTATCTATAATACAACAATGATTTTAGGGGCCGTTTGGAGAATATGAGTTTAAATCTATAGATTGTCAACAATCTAAAGATGCTAACTCTTCGGATTGTTGAAAAAAGATTTTAAAATATTTATTGTTTGGTAACTGTGATTGTTAACATTCAAGCAAAATAAAACATTTAATTTTTTATTAAATAACATGTTTTTCCTTAATAAAAAATTAGAGTGGTTCGAGAAATATAAAAAACTTTGTTGATAAATATATTTCATGTGATAAATGAATAAAAGGATAAGAAAAATTAGGAGAGAAAAAATCTCACGAATCAAGATATAGAATCTCTCTGATCATGAGAGATTTGATATCCGCAGATTTTAGAGATTTGAAATCTCTAAAGCTAGAATCCACAATACAAAAAGCAACAAAAAAACATAACTTTCTACAAAATCTACGGATTCAGTGAATCCATGTCCTGAATCATGTTCTTCAAACGACCCCTATGTTATTTCCGATTCTTGTATTGGGATATCTCTTAAAAAATTATCATATATAAACATATGTTGGAGAGAGTTTATCACTTCAGTCTAATGTTATACAGTGGAATGAATCCATGGCCTGAGTATAAAATGCTAGGATGGTAGGAATGATTGTTGACTTGATCAAGATATACATGGGTTACATTTAGAAACCAAATAAAATCCTATGCATCATGCAGTATCTTCCAATGGATCGAATATATATATAAAATCCTATGCATCATGCAGTATCTTCCAATGGATCGAATATATATATATATATATATATATATATTTTGGTGTGAACAAATGGGCGAATATAATCCACATAAAATGAAAACAAAAGAACTACCATTATTATTATTGATAATTTTCCAACATAGACAATTACCCAAAAACAAAGCAAGTGCCAACTATTGGATACATCTTCGTTGTTTAGAAAGAGGGGGAAAAAAAACAAGAAAAAGAAAAGAAATACAAACTCGGATACTTTTAAAAATAAAACCGAGCTAGGGAATTACGAGGGCGATACGTTCTAATAAAGTAAACCCTTCCGTAAAGCTTGCGCAGCACCGCCCATTTCCTTAAAAAATACTTGGGCGGTGGATCACAAACCAAAACAAAGTAACAAACAAAAGAAAGAAAAAAAAAAAAAAAGCCCACGTCAACACAGAAGATTAAACCAGACAAATCGAAGCAAGATGACGATACTTTATAACGCCGGGCGGCCGAGCCCTTCCGATCATCGGAGCCTGAGAATCTGGCGGAAACGATCCGCCGGCCCGTTGTCACTAACGGCGGCTTCGGCGGTGCAGCTGCTCAGCCTCTTGGGCCTGAGGGAAAACCTCGGCAGCGGCAGGCTGCTGGGCGGCGGAGCTAGCATGCTGATCAAAACCTCGTCCGCCAGGGACAAGGCAGGAATTTCCTTGACAGCTGCCGGAACCTTCGGGAAGACGTCCTTCCTATACGGAAGCTGACTAGGATTGGCAGCAGCAGCAGCAGGAGCGTTCGCGTGCTTCGGCTCGTCCGATCTTTTCGCCGGCTTTCTCGGCTTCCTGCCACCTCGGCTGGGCTTCTTAGCCGTGGGAAGGGACCCGTGGTGGGGCCTGCCGATGGGGGCGGTGGCCGGGAGAGGCAGGAGAGGCGGCGGCGGCGCCGCCGCCAGCTGGTGATGAACAGCTGGTAATTCTTGTTGGTGGTGGTTGTAGTAGAAGTTGGACATCGCGGCCGGTGCGTTGCTCGGAGGGTACGATGAGAAGAAAGAAGGCGGCGGCGGGGCGAAACCCATGAGGCTGCCGTGGAACATATCGTTGGGGTTCATGGAGAAGCTCCGACGAGGAGGAGCAGAAGGATAGCCACCGTTGTTTTGGGCTTGGTTCATCATATTAGGCGATGATCAAGAAGCCAAGGGGGACACGTGGAGGACTTAAAAGTTAAGAGAGGTGTCCAGATTTGGAGTGGAAGTGAAGGATAGGAAAAGTTTGAGGACTTGTTTTGAGGGGGGGAAAGAAGTAGGTACTAAATAGAGATGATGAGAACTTGCTCTGATCTCATCGATCGGTAGGGGAAATGGAGGAAGACCCTGTTTGGTCCGGGGGAGAGAGAATGGGATATCAGGGGAGTCTGGTAGCTGTACGTTAGGAAGCCTCGTTTTATAGAAGAGGATCATGGAGAAAGGCAGCAACGAGTTGCTATTTCCTTTTAAGTCATTTATGTACGTGTAGAGGCGGACCCAGGATTGTTGAAGACAGGTATCGTTTAATGAAGGAGTATCGGCTATAATTATTAAAGTGGTGTCGGAAATCTGATAGTAAATTTTTTTACCAAAAAAATATAGGTTCTTCACAAAATTTTCGGGGCAAGGGATGTCGTCCGCCACTGTGTACGTGACATAACATATGCGAATAATACTATATGGTTTTTTATAAAAAAAATCGGTTTATTCCAATAAAAATAATATTTTTTATTAATGATAATTATTTCTTTATCCTCATAACTTTCTATTTCGATTTATGTTACAGGTAATTTCAATCGGAAAGGCTTTGTCTAACCATAATTAATTACATTATAGGTGGATGGCTCTAACTAAACTAATAATTATTGGCTCTAACTAAACTAATATCATCGTCTAGATTAAACACTCAACTCAACTATTGTCATGATATTGTTGGATTACAAATACATCGATAATTGGGTTAAAATTCTTATTCCAGAGGATTTTACCGCGAGAGTAATTATTACATTTGTGTTTTCATTTTCAATTTAGGTTTGCGGTTAACAATTTTTATGTGGTTCTAGATGGCCCCTGTTGTATTTATCGATGTCTATTTATGTCTTCAATTAGAAAAGGAAGTGCGGCGAGTTTTAACGGCGACCGCCGCGGTCGGCTACCCATTTAGTCTAGGGAAAGGGGCACTGTAGGGCGGCAACCGCCGAAGCATTCCCGACCATTGGATGAGATTTTTCTTTCTCGATGGACCGGCCGTTCAGCAAACGTTGGCCGTTGATGAGCCTGCTGGGAGTAATTTGTCTGGTAAGGACCAGAGAAATCCAAGCCACACACGTCGTCAATGGCGTCAGTCTCCTAATTTCTTTTTCTAGCTTTATTCTGTGGCAAATTCTTTTATAATTATGGATAAAAAAAAGGACTTAAATTCCGGTAATTTGCTGCGACTTGCTAATCTTGTTTTAACTAATTGATGTCGAATTAAAACAAAAAAACATCGTTCCGATGGCTGCTTGAATGTTTTACGGTTTTTTGTTGCATAGTTAAACCAATGAATGAGCAACTATTTCAAACTGACACAGGCAGGCAAGGTTAGTTTGATTGGCGACGGTGGAAACGAAAACGACGTCGAATAGATGGAATTATTTTCTCATGGGAGACAACAGCGATATCTTAACCACCGAAAGCAAGCAGGCTTGTTTGGTTGGTAATTGTGGGCAACTTGGGGGGGAACGGGAAGCTCTATAGCTCGACGATCCGCCAATCAAAAATATAACTGGATTCTTTTTCCAGAGTAGAGGAGAGAAATTAAATAAATAACATTTCCGGTAAAGATCGAGAAGCGAAGATGACGAATGAAGGACATAAATAAAACCCTCCAAAAATATAATATAAGTAGTGTACTAGTGTTAGTTGAAAGGAAATAAAACCCTCCAAAAATTGACCAATCCATCACCTACGTACGCAAATGATTCTTGATTACATTAATTAATTATGTGTGGGAGGCTACGTAAGTATGATTAATGGGTCTCTGTTAAGTTAATGGAAATAGTAAAGGTGGGATTATTATATTTACTACCAATCACCGACCTTATTATAAAAATGCTTATCATTCATTGCCTGTGTTGTGTTGTGTTGTGTTACACTAGATATATAGATATGGAAAGTAAAATCATGAGTTTCACTTTAAGAAATTCAGAAAGATACTCATCTAGCTCTTATTAACGGATTCAAATCTATGTATGTTTTCGACCAATGTGTTTGTTTGAATAGCTCATGAATTCATTGCCTATTTTTCTCATGCACTATTGCAAATTCATTTTACTTAGTGCATGAACTTGAAGCTCGGAGTGGAAACCTAGATTGATTTCTCTTATTTTTGTTTCACTCTTACCTCACAAATTTGTTGATGACTTGATCCGGTTGGCCAAATAACAATTTCTTATGTTATAAAAAATGTTGTATGTTGTTGTAGACCGTCTCTAGCTCGAAGGTTGGTCACAACTAGCTTTACTCTCTCTACTTCAAAAGCTCCATATTATGAGATCATGTGGATTACTTTTCCAATAGAATCAAGATATTGAAAGAGAAAATAAATCTTAGCTGAATATACCATTCTTAATTTGTACGTGGGCGAGGTCTAAGCCATGATCTGTTTGATGAATTCATGCTATAGCACAAAAGAATGAATTAACGAAACCGGCTATATCTAATGCACAGGGAAATGGGAGTATCCTTAAAGCTTGACAGCTGACATTGATCATGATCTTGAATGATACTTTGTTATGGGGGAAGTAATAATATTCTCGGTATTGTGCAACTTGTGCACCGTCCATCTTAACAAGCCCACGTTCGTTAGGTGGAAAGAAAGGAAGAAAAAGCTAAGACGATTGCTAATTATTAATAGAAATTTCTTCTACCTACGATTCACAAATCACAACGCTAAAAATGATGGTCCATTATTCTCTCACTCCATCCTCTTCGTTTCCCATCAGTGTAGTAGGGTTAGTAATTAAGCATCATCTTCTTCAGCCAACAAGATCATGCATTATATATTCATATTTGTGTTTTTTTCTCAACCACAACTCTCGAATTGTTGGAAAAAAGTTAAGTATATAGATTTCATATTATACTTTCTTATACGCTCCCTCGAACTAAAAGTTAACTCATGAAATTGAAGTTTGCATATATCTTAATGCATTGTCCTTAAATCAATATTTATATTGACGGTCGATCGTGGGAATTGAAATACACGATCACTTAATTAAACCATGTTCTGATATCATGTCATAACTGTTTGATTTTAAAAACTCAAATTATTTGAAAAATGTTAATTATTGATCATATACAATTCTCTTACGTTATTAACCACAACTTGCTATTTACTAACATACATCCTTGAAAATGCAAATATGGTTTGGCAATTAACCCAATAATTACATTCAATATGATTATTCAAGTTGGGTCCGTTCTGGTGGCTAAGGAAAATTCTCAGTAAAGTGAGTAAGTGATTCTTGGTTGCTTGATCGTCCATTTTCTAAATCTGGTGATCCATAAGGGAATAAGAAATTGGCCTGGTGATAATATGTATACTAATACCACTAAACTTGATCCTAAAATGTCCAGATTCAAATTCCTTCATTAATCATTAACCCCTAAAAAATCAATAATCCCACCCTTATAAAAAAATCCGGTGATCCATTAGAGAGGAGGACTAATAGGAAACACTAATTGATACAGATGGCACCCAATATATATTATTTGTAATGTAATCTAACTTAATGTTCCAACCAAGATAGCAATATACTATTTTTAGTCATTAGATAACTCGTAACTAAAGTTACAAGGTCGGAAGTATAAAGTGATCGTAGTCGCGCAACAAAATCGAAACCCACCAACAACGACGACCTCAATGAAAGGGTTTCCTTACTACCAGATAGACAATATACTAACTTTATTAATGTTCGAGTTTTATTAACTATACAAGGTGGTGGTAAGTGGTAAGCGGCGCATGTTTGCGATAGGAAACTATGTGAAACAACAAATGTTATACCCAATTCACCAATGGACTTGAATGTCCTTCGGAGAATTCCGAGGGATGGTACTTTTAATCAGTCGAAACCAATCACATCGTTGATTGAACAAGCAAGGTCAACGAGATTTTTTATCGTATGACTTGTCGTCGGCAACTGATCGATTTCCTCTGTTAGCCATATATGAGACCATTTCACTCTTATATGTATAGCAGCACTTTAGCATCATTAGTGGTGAATAGAACTAATGGACATAATACGTTATATGTAGGACCTCCGTCTTTTAAGACGCAGCCTAATTCGAGTTGGTTTCATGCCCGGACAACCTTTGGGTTACTACTCATCATGGGTTCTTTTCTCTCTAACGCATCGTTTTAGGGTGTGGTTATCTTTTTTCTTTTCTTTTCTTTTGATATCCTCGAACTGATGAAAAGAATATTTAGAACGTGGATGTGTAAAAATACGGAATTCACACTTTCAAATTATACAGTGGGAAAAAATAGAAAAATAAGAGAACAAAAGAGACGAAAAAACCCAACTAGAGATTGCTGAGGCCTGGGATAGCATTCTTTTGGCTCAAATAGTAAAAATTTGTGTTTTAGTAACCCACTCGTTTCTTAAAAAATATATTTTATTACCTTCATTAATAACTAGCTTATAACCCGGGCCGTTGGCCGGAATGTTCATATTTGATTATTTATATTTTATGTTATATTTAAGTCTATCAACCTATTTAATTTTTTTTACAATCTTTTGATCGAGATGATACATAAAGAAAGAATATATAGGTCGAACACTCGAAGAAATACCATCATCATTTAAGAATATAAAATATAAAAATGTATCATTGATTTCATTTTCATAATGATAATATTATATTGGTTAGTTGATTGTCAAAAAAGATAGAATATAAAAACTCACTGGAATTACCACACGATCCATATATAGTTTGAAACTGAATATGAAACCTTACAATCCTACATAAAGGGTTCAATGCTCTCCTTTTAGAAACAATATGTCACTAATAAAAAAGAAATGGAGAGTTGCTGGTTCAAGTCAACTATATACTAAAAACTAAGCTAACAGGGAACCATCATAACTTGAGAGCAAACGACAAAATTTGGGTTACCTCCAAATACTAATAGACTTGATCAAAGTCATAAGGCACAAAATTAGACACTCTTTATCTATCAGTTTCAGTAGGTTGAATAAATAGTCGAACTACTTCAGTAAATCATCAATGATTTCTCGTTTTAAGATAGAAATAGATTGCGATAGCTGCAAAAACCATAAACCTAAAGAGACAATAGCCACCACTCTTCGTTGAACGACCAAATTTTTATCCACTCAATCTTCAATCTCAGGA